CGGTCCGCCGGGGCGGTGCAGGCAGCCTCGCGCGGCTGGCGCTGCTGCTCGGCTTTCCGCCTCCGAGAGCTTCCCGGCGGCTCTTCCTGACCAGGACCGGGATTGGCGCGTAGCCTCAAAGAAATGATCGGCCTTTGGACACGTAAAACCACGTTTTATTATGGAAAGTTTCAAGCTCTGCGGGGGGTGAGAGGGTGGCGTGAAGGACTGGGCGTGCCCGTCACCCAGTTTCGTCCATTACCGATACGCGGCCGGATTTGCACCTTCCCAGGTTAATTTGAAGCAGATCCCACACGTATCATTTAATCTCTTTTACATATTCCTGCGGCTTTGCGGGGGTCAGTAGTCATGCTGCTTTTCCAGTCGTTTGCTTTCTTGAGGGGTTGTGTAAAACAAGGCACACGTTAAGGTGCAGACGGCGCTACTTCAGTTTTTGCTGCAGGAATGTGGGCAGTTCTCCCACCGGGCAGTTTAACTACCTTCTGCTCAGGTTTTCAAAATCACTGAAAACAAAGGTACCCAATAATCTAGTCTTGGCAGTAGCATTACTGGTTTTGAGCGGTAATAATAGTACTGATGTTTTGCATTCGGGGAGCTCTTAATTTGTATGAAGTACTATGAAATTGTTTCCACCTGTTCCTTTAATTTTTACAACAGCTGCGTGAAGTAGATACCCCATTTTACAGGTAAGGGGAGAAGAGGCTTAGCGAGGTTACGCAATTTGCCTAAATTCACGCTGACCTAAGGGCCGGGGGCACGCCTGGGATTCAGGACGCTTACCCTGGTCACTGCAAAGTCCTTGCTCTTTTAACCATAATTGAACGTCCTAAGAATTGTTGAGTAAGTGTAACTGGAAAATTATTTCTATTGAGCTACAACTCCATAATGGGGTAAAAATCTTGGAAATTTACATAAGTACGACAGCAGTATAGGCATTTTTGTTTCTTTGAAACTGTAAAACGTTAATACAATTGAATTTTAAAGTTATGAGAACGTATAGGTGTAGTTCAATAAGTACAAGTGTTTGTTGTTGTTTTTTCCTATAGTATATGCCAGTTAAAGGGGTATGGGACAGGGGTAAAAATATATACATCAATGAATAGTCTACCTCCTTTGGCACTTAGCATATATTGGCAATTTATTTTGAATACTTTCATCTGTATCCCTCATCTTTCCAATCTGCTAAGACAATCTTCATGCAAACAGTGTTGGAGGAGTAAGCAACTAGATACAGCTGGGCTTATTCAGAGGGCAGTAGAGAAGGCCTGCAGAATTGGAGGTTAGGATTCCTACTGTAGGGGAGTAATTAGGAAGTGTAGAAGTAAGGTTAGGAACTTGAGCAGAGAAGTGACATGAGTTGACCTGGTGAATATAAAAGAAATAGATGTGGGTAACTGGTGAACTTATGGACATAAGCAGAGGGATGGAGAAAAAAAAATAGTCTGAGAAGGAGAGAGGAAAAGAGCATGGTACAGTGGTATAGGAGGTTCTGAAATAAATGCTGGTGAACTTCAGTTTCCATAGGTTTTCTTGGGCAGTCTTGATGATGAGTATTATTGTATCATTGCTCTCCCAAGTGCTAACTACGCTCTATTTAAGTATTCTTTTACATGTTTATTGTGTGCTGTTGATACAAATTACACAAGATAGGTAAGCAACAAAAGGACACTAATCCCATTATTTAAGGATAAACCACTGACCCTGCTCTAGTGTATGTCCTAGACTAGGATTTGGTGAACTATGAGCCCAAGGCCTAAACTGGCTCGAGGCCTGTTTTTGTATGAACTCAGAGGTAAGAGTGAGTTTTACATTTTGAAGGGGTTGGGGGGAAAAAATTTAAATACTATTTGTGACATGTGAAAATTATATGAATTCAAATTTTAGTATCCATAAGTGATTTTTAAAAACCCAGCCATACTTATTTACATGTGGCCTATGGCTATGCTTTTTAATTACAAGGGCAGAAAATGTTTATTATTTGGCCCTTTACAGGAAAAGGGCCAACTCCTGTTCTGGACCTTTTTAATGAATGTGCCTATACACCTTTTGTTTTTGTGTTTTTTTTAACAAAAATGAGATTATAAATTATTTTGTAATCTTATGTATTGACCTTTTATTTTTTAGACTTAAAACTGTTGGGTTTTTAAGTGTGCTAAGTCTTTCATCTGCATCCCTCATCTTTCCAATCTTCTAAAATAGAATCTTCATCCAAGAGTGTTAGAGGATTAAGGAAGTAGAATCAGCTGGGTTTATTCAGAGGTCAGTAGAGAAGATCTGTTCAATTGGGATTTAGGATTTCTACTGTAGTTGAGTGATTCAGAAGTCTAGAAGTAAGGTTAGACTCAGTATGCATGAGGTGCCAGTGTGTATTTGAACAATCCTCTTTTGCTAGATATTTTTGTTTCTTTTCCAGTTTTTAAACAATTATTCCTAATACGTAAGAGGACAGCTTTTTCTATTCAGATTTTTGCGTGTCAGAATATTTCTTTAGGACAAATTTCTAGAAGTGAAAATTGCTTTTGTTAGGTTGCCCACCAGAAAGGTTGTACTTTGCCCATACCTTTACCCATATTGAGGTGTCTCCCTTTTTATCTTTGTCAGTTTGATGGGGGAAAAAGAGATAACAGTTTTAATTAACATTTCTTTGGTTAGTAGTGTGAGATCATTAAACATTTTTTCATATTTATTGTCCATTGTGCTTCCACTTATAAAAACTCCCGGTCCTGTCTTTTTCCTTTTTCCATTGGGTTTCTGATTTTTTGATTCTTGATTTGCAAGAACTTTATATTCATTACGGATAATAATTACTTGTTATATCCAAGTGGCAAATGGTTTTCTCCATCACTTATCTATTTTCTTTTAAATTCTGCATAATGGCTAATAAAATACCTGTATCAGCCAGGAGAGCACTTGGGGCTGTAGTTTTTGGAATCAGCACATGCCATCTCTGAAACAGTTCATTTATGATACTGAAGTTGTTGCCAGCCAGTCAATCTGCAAGTCACTATTACTAGACAAATTGTATTGTATAAATTGATATTACTTAATAAATTAATTTCTACAACTGGATGTGACTAGTATGAGTTAGTTGTACATATTTAAAAAGTCAGAAGTTAAGTAGGAAGTTAAGTCTCCATTACTATAAAAATAATCAGAGCCCGGCCGAGCGTGGTTCAGTGCTTCAGCATCTACCTATGATCCAGGAGACTGAGGCTCAATTCCTGGTCAGGGCACATGCCTGGGTTGCAGGCTCGATCCCCAGCGTGGAGCATGCGGGAGGCAGCCGATCAATGACGACTTTCTCATCATTGATGTTTCTCTCTCTCTCTCTCTCCCTCCCTCTCTGAAATCAGTAAAGATATATTTAAAAAATAATCATAATTCTTTAGTATGTAACTATTTATATATAAAATATTTTTTCTTTAAGAAATTTTATTAATGACTTTTATAAAAAATATGTTTTTATTGATGTTTTAGAGAGAGAGGAAGGGAGAGGAGGAGAGAGAAACATCAATGTGAGAGTGAAACACTGATTGGCGCCCCCTGCATGACCCCTACTGGGGCTCAAATGCGAAATCCTGGCATGTGCCCTGACTGGCACCCCTTACGTTTACAGGACAACACCCAGCCAACTGAGCCACACCAGCCAGGACAAGGTATCTCTATCTCAGTCCCTTTGGACTTAGATAGGGAGTGCAACCTATAGTTAAGTTTTTAAGTGTATTGAGAAAAATATCCTAAAATGGCAAGATTTCATTACAAAGATATTATTGCTTGAGATGAGGTTAAGTTTTTTTAAAAGTTAGTTGACTTAACTAAATTATTAAAAGCATTAAGATATGACATAAATCATAAAAAATTGTAACTCATAATGTCCGATATTGGGAAATAATGTTTCCCCGAAGTTTATATTTTGTTAATTTTATTATTATACTGTCCAAAGTTTGAATAATTTTTATGTCTCTACTTTTTAGATTTTATTTACTTTGTTTAAAAAATGTTATTGGTCTTTAAAAATTACATAAGTAATATTTTGTTAAAAACCATATAAACAGTACAGAAGTGCATAAGTGTAAACAAAGAAAAAGTGGAGGATTCCATTACCAATCCTCAGAGCCAATATTAAAGCTTTAGTTTCTTCTCAAATCTTTTTGTATGTATATACATAAAGTATCTTATTTTACCACTATTTCTATGCTTTGTTTTATTTTTTTAATCC